TTCCTCCGTGCTGGCCATGACGAAATAAAATTTTTCTATTAATGCAGAAATAAGTCGTAATTAAGACCAATCTTGATGAAACTATGTCTCTGATTTAGATTGCGTCTAGTGAATTACACAAGGCTAGCTATTCCCACTACATAATCTATAAGATTATCTCCACGACAACAAAACCACCGATAGCTATTTTCAAGAATATAACGCCACGGCTCGCCAGCTTTTGTTTATTCTGGCAAAAATGAACAAGCCACGTTGCCGTGATAAATAAACGAATATTCTAAATATAAGTAATTGTTTTGAGCAAAAGATTTCAAGGCTACTTCATGGTGAGCCTTTCATCATATTATTGTGACTAGCGTGATACATACACGTACATGTACACGTCAAAGTTCGGCTGAAATCATGACTGCCTAGCCCTTCATGGATGATTTTTATTTTGAAACAACCACATTGGTTACATTCGCATTCGATGGAAAACAGAAGAAAATGCAGCACGAAAGGTTATTTTCACTTAATCTTCCACAGAGTGACTAACTTTGTCAGTATCAAATAGAATAACCAGTAACTTTCCAACTAAGTTTTCAATGGCCAACTGAAACAGATTTAACTTAATTTTTATTAATTAATTAAGCGCTTTCTCAAAAATATCTAAGTTCATTTTCTTTACTCTGTTATAATTTATATCTTGGTACAGTTTGAATACGTGCGAGACGTCATACGCCTTCATTTGTAAGTAACATTAATTTAGAGCCATTTTTTTTGGGACTTATATCACATAAGACATTGCTGATAAATATAGAGGTACTTAGCCTATCCGCATATACATATAGAAACGCATCAAACAGATATAGAACATTATGAAGAACTTGACATGTCATCCATGCACACGTGTAATAAAAATCAATCATATGAAATGAAGTAAAATAAATGAGCGACTGATCCATAGAACTACGTATCAAATCATAAACGTGAGCCGCATCTTGAGGGGAGTCGTTGTTGGACGGTGTTGATCCAGATATGGAGGGTATAAACTCTTGAATCATCAGCACTGGCACTCGTTTCTGACGTCTTGATAGCCAGGTAAATTCCTAGCGCCGTCGCAAGTGACAGCGTGTCGGCCGGTTGGTCTTGCCATTATCCTCTCCGCACAAAGTCCGTTATCGTTCCAGTTTCAGGTCTACGCCGCTGATTTTGAGTTCGTAATCTCGAATAAAATATTATTAAGTCCCTATGTCGAATAGTTTGAATCGTCTCCGATACTGTCAGACACTACTGCACAAGCTAGCTTGTGGAAGATCAGGATCTCTTGGCGCTATGTTAAATGCATATCGAAAATTCTCGAAGGATGAAATTCGAAGGGTTGTGTAGGCTGTTTATGGCCCGTTCAATGCTTTCTAGAAGTATGGCGCATGCAGAGTATTCTAAATATCTGTTCTTCACGAATCGTATTGAAGAACTGGACATACTACAACAGCCGATTTGGAAAGTGTTTGAATAATATCTTATAACAGTTACTCTTTTCTTCAATGTCTCTATGCGTCTATAATTCTTTTTATGCTGCTGTTCCCGGCCTTTGTTGCTGGATTTAGTATTAGGGTAAGCATATATGCGGTCGACCAAGAACTAGTGGATCTCTGAACGCTTGGCTGTGCTACTATCTACAATGATACCATGGTACAACTGGAGGTATTTTTATATCAAAAGGCCTCCTCTGGACAAAGAATAATATTTTTCGTTTTATATTATAATTTTTACATTACAATTTACAATTCTCTTAATCATCCCAGTTACAACGATGCTGATCTGCTAATTATCTGTCACACACCCGCAACGCTAGATATATAGAATTTCTCTGTCTATCCCTATTAGTTTGAGTAACACGTTCCGTATTTCTGTTACATAGACAATCAATGGACCCTTTTCCGGTGACCACACTCTACTGGTATGACGTCTTAATTGAACGGAAAGCATGCACGCATCGTCGAACTCGTCTATCAACATCGTTAGCCAATAAAAGGCAATCGATACCACCGAAATGCCAAAAAGAAGCAAACGGCTGCTTACTTGAGGGACCTCCCAGGCCTTCCACACCCGAAACAACGACAATACCCACCAACTATAACCAACAACAACAGCGCGTAGTATTCTTGGCAGGCGGCTTGAAGAGCCAGTAGGCGTAGGTTGGCCACCGGCTTGGAGAAGGACGTAGGCTAAATCCAGGTGCCACGTCTTGAGAAGGCTGTAAAGCCTACCGAATCAATCTAACTCACGTGAGACTATGGTGGTGACTACCAAGTGCATCGCATCCATCTAGAGCACACCCACCATATGACAGAGCTCTTCAATCGCAAAACCTCTTTATTATTTGAGATACCGTGCCAGCCGCCGTCAGAGAAGGCACAATCCATTGCCATCAGCTAGCGACAACCAACTACTGTTACTACTGAGATTTTAAGGGGTTATGCGTAAAAATACTAATCTAAATTTTTATCCAACGTATGCAGACTACCAGTTCTTCGTTCACATTCGTTGATCTTTAACAGCGAAACAAGAATCATCTGTCCCGCGATCGAGGTCAGCGGGCATCCATTGATCTTAAACAAAGAGTTTCCTGTTTTTCATCTAGAACCACCGGAACCACAATATAAAGACTAAAAGCAATAAACCGGTATTCGTTTTCGTCACCACTTATAGGTATGTACATGGCTATAAAAATCATAACATTCTCGTTGACATTTGTCAGCCAGCTGGATCTGGTAAACAGCGGCAGTGATAATAGGCAGCCGCTCATAGTGTGTATTTCCTTTTCTAATCAGAGCTTACTTAATTGAGAGTTTTTTATAGTATTTTACATGCACCATCGTGGACTGGTGCGCGGTGGGTGGCTGATACACTTTGTTTTATATGAGTGAACGTGTACAAAATACTCTCCACCACGTTTGTTTCGTAGGCTTAACTGAAATATCCTGACTACTAGCAACAGAGTAGAATTCGCTGCAGACGCACGCGTAGACACACCAAATCTCGCTTCCCGAAGATCCCCTGACAGCCTCCGTTTTGTGTGGCGGATGATCCCGGATACGTACAGACGGAGCAAAAGGAATTTTTTATGTGAAATGAGAAGCAGGAGTGGCTAGTTCGTCCCTGTTACTGTTCCTGGCCTTTTAACCCCTTCTTACCTGAAACTGACCCTCGTTTCAGGTAATAAGGGGTTAAAAGACCGAATGAAAGTAAAATAAGTCTGGGATGTGCGCGTGAACTTCTAGATAGGTTGTCGACTCACGCCTTCTGAAATGCGCATTTTTGCTACATGCGAAGTAATATGACTTTGGGCTGGAGAAGGACTGTGGTCAAAAGCAAACAACGCAAGAACGTCTATCCTTTCCGGATTATGAGGTCGAACCACTACATCGACTACCGTTGACTGCATATAGCGTCGCCCGCTTCCGCAAACGGCCAGTCGTGCGCTATTAGGTATGCCAGAAATTCATGTTGCATATTCTTTGTATATTCTATTAGTAAGAAGGCTCCTGATATAACGTCTGCCTAAGGCTAAGTGCGATAATCAGAGTTGCAGAGCTCCTCTCGCACGATACTTCGATCTTCCATGAAAAATTTTAAACGCTTGAAAATAACAATTCATAAATTAAGAACCATATTTTAGAAGCTACCGGATCAATGAGAGAATGGTCAATAAAAAAACTACGTGAAATGGATCATACGATATTTGGGTGCCAGGAAGGAAATTCAACAGAATTGTGTTAAAAACTTTGAGAACCGGACTGAGTTACTTTTACAGTACACCCAAATTATTGTACAATTTTGGCTGCTTTTGCTTATTATGGGTTTTAGTGGAACATATTTTTAACATTTCCTTAATATGTCTGTTTGCGATGGGACACGCTTTATGCCAAATGCAGAACGCTCTTTCAATTAACCGAGTGGTACGACCTGGATATTAACTTCTATTGATCCTCATATTACTAAAAAAATTTACAAACCAGAAGAAAATGTCATTTTCCAATTCGTCAGCACTAAACATAAATGAAAGTACACGTTTTTAAAAATTATAGATTTGTTAAATATAAATCTTCTCAAAAAGGTATTTAAATATATCAGCTTATCCAATTCATCAGAGCGTGTTTAAAAACTTGAGTATTTTTTTAATTGCGCGCTATTAGCAGACGGGTAGAGATTTACAAGATTCAGTTTCTAAGTTCATTTTTTCTGAAGCCGCTCTATCAGCTTATTCTTTGAAAAGTACACCTCACTATCTGTAGATGAGCGAAAATGCACTGTCCATGTTCCGTTTCGCTTAAAAGCGGCAGTGATAATAGGAGTTCTCTTTTTCATTTAAGGCCCGAAGCTGTAACGAGCCTTTGTATGATCCTTAACCTTTCGAAGTCTGAACTCAAATAGATTGCACGAGCAATGAACTGTTGTTTCGCTAAAGCCAATATGTTTGCACCTTATAACTTAGGGCATAACTGAACGACAGGGTAGCTAATATTGTCTGATGAGAGTCAATCAGAGTATAATTGCAGATATCCAAAGACGACATACAATGTATAAATTGACCAAAAATCGTTTGCTAATGGCTCGTGAAATCCATATACAGTCATTTTGTACGTCCTGCCTGTTTCTTGCGTGTTATCTAAGCCGATCATGATCGTCATGCGCATAAATTCGCAGATGCGTTTTCGAAATAGCATCAAATACCTTACCAGCTGGCTATAACAATACCTAATAGAAGATCACAAGGACAGATTTTTCATACGAACAGACACGTCTTTGTGCGTACAAACAGAGATAATTATCTTTTTAATAGCTGCTTCTACGAGTAGTGCTGAACCGTCGTTACCGCACGACCTGACGCTTTGCCCAAATAGAACATTATGGTATACGCCTGCAGACTAGAATAAATTCAACATTATACATTATGAATGTAATTATATTGAGAAACAATAATGACGGTGGTCACCCAGACCCTAATAATATAATACCACTAAAAAAAATGCACAACCTATTACGATATTACGAAATAGACTAGGACTACTGCAAACTAAACAGTATTTTCCACCGCACATAAGTATAAAGTAGGTTAGGTGTACGGACGAATTGCTGGATATAAATGGGACATCTAACTTGTAAGTTAATTATATAGCTGTGATGCAGTGGGTGCAATAACTTAAACATTTCTAGAAACCAAACATTTGATAGACATTAACAAAAGTGATTATATGCCGAAATCTCAAAACAACACTTAGGAAATAACATATTGATGATGATGATCCCTTTTGGTATTTCGGTCTACAATTAATTCCCTAGCTCTCAAACGCAATCTCCTACAATGCATATACAATCGTGGGCTAGACTAGACAAGAAAAACAAATTATCCTTATGATAGAAGACCTTTTGTTTAGAATATTCAGGTTAATTTCTCAGTATTCTATGATATTTTTCTAGTATTCTAAATTTATTGAAGACCTTCGCTCGATTTTCGCCATCATTCAGCTGAAAGCCTATCGGAAGCGTAGTACAAGTGCGTGCCCCATAAGGCAGTTTGCTGGCCGCAGCGATAAGATTGTAGAGGGTTCTCATGGTTGTAGGATTGGAGATCCTGTACCAGAAAGCGAAGATGGCTCTCAAATGAGTACAAAGTAGGCGTACATTGCCGCAAACTAGCTGTTAACAGTTGGCCTGTTTGAATAAAAGTCAAAAAAGACAAAGTCAATAAAAATGCAAGCTAGTTTATAAGTTCTACAACGTGGCCCGGAAGCTTACGTATTTTCCAGTACATTTTCTCGGGAACTATTGAACCGATGTCTGTGGACATTAGACGACATGAGGAAGGCCGAAAAATCGGGTTCAAAAAACAACTTTTTTGCAGCAAAATTCTTAGCTAGGAAGATGCTAGGAAGGGGGTAGACACTGAATCTAAGTAGCGTAATAATACAAAGATCTATGTGTATAGAGTTAGATGGTAGGATATAAATAGCCCTTCATATGCAATGCTATAACAGAAGAAGCGGAAGCAACGAGACAACAAAACACACTCATATAGACTCCAGCTTTATCAGTAAAAGTGGGCCGTTTGCCGAGCACTTTGCGCGGCTAGAAAAAGATGCAGATAAACAGAACTAAACTTGAAGTATTGTAAAAATCAATGGAAGTTAAATATCTTATTCACACTGAATACTAAGCATGTAGAGAATATTTCTTACCTTGGAACCATAGGTTCTACCAATGCTGTTAGTATTCAGAATTGCCCTCAGCAGCCAGTGCAGAGAGAACAAAAGGCTCAGACGCTTAAGACAACTTGGTGACTTAGAATATAGTTCTACTTTCGGTGAAAAAAACGATTATAATTTACTAACTAAACCTTGTTGTACCGACAGGCTAAACCCAGTTTAAGCCCGAGCGGTTCTGAGAAACCGAATTTTACTTGGCGAGCAATTAGGTCATTGTACTAAACAGAAATCGACAAAGAAAAAAACAAGATTTTGCCGAACTCGTTAAAAGATCTTCATTCGAGTAAAGCCAACCTAAAAACTCGACCAGATCGAAGGCGGATAACTGCATTTAATTAAAATAATTTTCCTGACTGTTACCATCGTTGTACACCACAAAGTACTTCGCTACTATGTGGGTTCAATAAAAACGTATAGTCTAGTTCAAGGGTGGGCGAAAAAAGTGCTTATTATTTTCATTACGTTTTTGAGTACCGGAGCTAGATTATATCGGTCTGAAAGAGTGTACGTTATTTTAGAAGTATCGCTATATGACACTTCATTCCTCCTGCAAATGGTCGAATGATGCTAGGCTACGAGATCTGGATTATAAAATCGTTACTTTTTCACCCGGGCTATTTCTAGTTCTTTTTAAAACTTATCAAATTATTGTATTTTTTTAACTTATTGCAGCATCCTTCGGCATGGACTCAGTTCAAAATTAAGACTCCTGTTCTGATTAGACATAAATTATTAATAGTTATACCGGTAAAAGTTCCGAAGTAAAAGTTCTAAATCACAAATAACTTCCAGATAAACATCAGATAAGTGCCGCATCTAGCCGTTTCCCCGGATGATCTAATAACCCACTCTGTTCTCCTACTAATTAACGCTGTTTGATTTTGGAATACTCGCGAAAATAATTACAATCCGGTCTTTTCAGGCGGCTGGCCTCTTGCCTGCGACAGCACCAGGACATTGGTAGGAATCACGTATGCCGTATCTATTTCCATACGTAAACTGGTAGGCATTGATGCCAATGAGTAGCTACTGAGTTCGCGACATCTCAAGTTCCCTCCCGCCATTGCTTTCAATCATCGACTCGTCCATCCGTTTCAGACAACATTGTGCTTACGATACTTGACGCCTATATAGCGCGATTAAATCCTAACTTTAAGTAGACAGTCTGGATACATCAGCGGAAGTACAACCACCGCTACCACTAACGAAAGGAGCTCGAGACAGCAGTCTGTGCCATTGACGCCCAGCTAACCGGTCTGGTCACTAGTATATATTCATACGATGTCTGGCAGCGATACCAATCCGTAGCAAAGTATCAGCAGGTTATTATGGATTTGTGGCTGAAGTGTCTCGACTGAATCAGGGTAGGGATTCAATGAGAGGGATTATAACTTCACTCCATTCCTGGGATCCAAATGTGTTAGTGGTGCCAGCGCGAGACAGTTAAAACAGCTAGTTAAAGCAGATTTGTGCAGCACTTAGTAGCATTCAGAGGCTCTCAAGCTATAGGATTAGGACAACATAGACCTACCACTAAGCTTGTTCGTAAAGGTGATCAGTGGAGCCGTAACGATGTCAGACGCCGCTGTGGGAAACGCAGTAGCTATTGGGCTCACAGTGAGCGAGCAGTCGGTATCTCAGTGTCACCCAGTTGAATGTCTACCTTGCCTCTTTTCTCGCTTTCATTTTATGTCGCTGTCGTCATTTACGGCCTTCTCGAATGAGCCACTACGATATACTAAGATGGAAAATGCTAGGACAGCAGTCAAAATGTTCGTTCACACCTACCGAACGCGGTAGTGTCTACGGTGGGATGAGCCAAACGTGCGATACAGAAGTGCATAGGAACAGAGTTGTTACGCGGAGCTTTCGAAAAGAGGTCGTATTTGTTGTTGACCAAGCAATAGCCCTGGGTATCGTTTCATGTAGAACGTAGAGTTCTGCTATTCCTGGATGCAGCTGAAAGTGGAGCAGCTCTCTCGTAGGCAGATTCAAAGCATCGCGGTGAAATAAAGCCTCCAAACAAAAAAAAAAATGGCCGAGAAGGAGGTTCCGGAGACATTCATATGAGGACTCCGAATAGAACTGAGACATCTGCGCAATTCATTTATGATGGTGAGTGATGGGTTTCTTCTTCGAAGTAGTAGAACGAGTAGCCTCTAGTCCCACACAAAAAGGGTTGCCTTAAATAGAAAAAAAGCAGTTGGAGTAATGAGTTGTTAATTTACCTCACATCGAGTGCAACGATCCAGAGTCACATACTCTAAAGTTCGCGCAAATAAAGCAAAATATCTACCGCCATCTTTTCACTCTGTTTAGCCATTTTTCATTTTTGCTTCAGCAGTCGTCCTCGTTGAAAACTACGTTAAATATCGATACGAAGCACGTTTGGGTATCCTCCTTGGCCGTCAAATTATCTTTCATATCAATACAATACAATTATTTGTCAGGTATATTTAACTTTTTGTTATGCTGACCGGCCACGGGAAGCCATATTTCTGACATACATTCAAGCTAGGTACATCGACCCATACGGAAATCGATACTATCAGTGAAACAAATATGCTAACGTTCGCTGAAAAAAATGACACGGGTAATTGGCCTAAAAAAGGGAATACGCAAAAAGGACTCAAAATACGTAGCAAAGAGAGCATACATTTTTTTTTTTTATCTAGAGCTCGTTCTTGCTCCGGTCGCAGTTCACAGTTCGGCTATGAACAATATCATCGTATGCGGAAGACACGGCTGCCTAGAACGAAGAAGTCTCAGATCGGTTCTTTTCGTAAGCAGTCTGGTTCTGTTTCGTGGAAATTTTAATTAACCAAATTAAGGAGTTCAGCGAAGATGGACCCGCAATGCATCAAGAGTAGAAAAATGGGCTCTGCTAAGTAGCGTAGAAAACGATCCATAAGCAAAACGAATGCGAATTCAGTGGAAGACCGTATAAATGTACAATACGTAATGTGCAATTAAACGTAACTACGTTGATTAGACTGACGCATCTAAAAAATTATTTAGGTGCCTCATTATTTATCGCCGAAACTCGCTCGTTTAGGCTGGATTTTTGAAAAATAAGGTCAACTTAAAAATCGTCGATACTGACGACAGTTAACATTCAATTGCTATCTGGATTGATAGTATACTTACAAAAAAACAGTAAAATTGGATTTTCTTGAACAAGTAACATCATGTACATTTGAGTCATTAGCATGACGCGGTAGTCAACGAGCGACAGCGGCGGAATCGCCGAATATCTTAACGATATTCTACAGCTAGACGTGTCGCCGCACCCCGACATACTCCTATTTCAATCAGTCCTACTTACAGCTCACACAATAAGTCCTTAAGCCGATCTCAACGCTGAGGTTTTCACAATCATACGCACTTTCCCTCTGCAGTGTAGTGTTAGCACGCCTCAACAGGCTTCTGCTGATGGACGATCTCGGGGATGCATGGGATCAACGAGCTTTGTTCAAGTGTGTGTGTGTGTGTGTGTGTGAGCGTGTGTGAGGCTGTGTGAGTGTCTCCGCTGTTCGTTCCACCAGCTTCCGCTAAAAAGAAAAGAAGACGATTATTTCTGGGCGTTGTATTTCTTACGCGTAACATCTCACTCCCACTTGCACACCCGAAACGTCCGCGACATGCCTCTAAAAAAGCTAACTGTTAACCGGCTATAGCGGTATCGCTTAGCCGAATCTGGCACTATTGTGGAACCTTTTGAGGAGAGAACGAGGCTATCTGGCCGATACGTCCGACGGATTATTGACGGTTAGCGCTGGCCGTACTGACAAATATGTCTCGATTTATGATGGCAATAACGTATCGTCTATAATGCATCCAAGCGTGCGGTACGTGAAAGTCAGACCAAAAAGCCAATGGCACAGGGTGTCATATCAATGGCAAATAGCTAGATAGATGTCCTTTTTAAAATAATCGTGTGCTGGCAGTAAAATTGACTGGGTTTTCCCTTAATGGGAGTATACTAGTAGCAGTAATAATTGTCGTGGTAATGGTAGCAGTGCTTGTGTTCCGTGACAAATGCCCTGGCGCTAGCTACAGAACGTGACAGGAACGACTATGCAATAGCTATCGCTACTGTTGCATTTGCTAACTATGCGTCAGATTGAATTTATTCATTGCACCTCTTATGTTCTTTTTTCCAGGTATGTCGTGTCCGTAATGAATAGGTTTTAAATACAAGTCTGTGCAGTATTTAGATATGGGCGCATTGTTATTTAGATATGGATTCGTTACATCTTTGCAGAGGCTACACAATTTGTAAGAGGATTCATTTTGTGAGCTAATCAGTAACGTTATCAAAGATGTGATATATACGAAACAAATTTCGTCTGAGTCTGAAACACAAAACAAGAAAGCTCTGACACATGTCAAAAGTGCTTTTCTACATATGGTTCATCTTTCAAGGATGACTCTAAGAATGGATCCGGTATTTGTTACGACGATGCTTGCTACTCGACCCAGCCAACTGTTTGACACACTTACCTAGATGATAACTAGGAAGGTAATTCTCACTAATTTAAAAAGAAATAACTCATTTTGCTTAACAGTGTACGCTACAGTTCTGCTGAAGGAACTTGATTCGAATATACCATACGTTTATTTGGTAGTAAGAACAAGATCAAAACTAAAACTTAACGTCATACAATGACTTCCTTTTTTTTATTTATATCTCCCTGCTCAAAGTTGTACATGGTCATTGCCGCAGGGGAGGTGGCATAGAAACGTTTCACTTAGTTAATACATTTGACTAAATGATGAAGATAAATCATTGCGCAAAGTGATGATTGACGGAACAGTTTGAGGCTTGTCTTGGCTTTTGCAGATTTTACCTTTTTCATTGCAAGTTATATCATATATTATATCGACTGAAAAGAAAGTGTAACAAAGATGCCAAAGCGTTACAACCAGCGGGTATATATATCTGTATCGCATGTGTGCTTATAATAAGAGGCATAGTTAAGGGGCTGTTAGGGGTTGAATTGCAATGATTGGAAAAATACAAACTTAGGCTCCATTTTGAAACTACGGCAGGGGTTAGAGCTTGCCATGTAGTTAGAGCATGCAATGTAGAGAGAGAGATGCATTTTGTAGCTAGAGAAAGATCTGCTTGTGGAGATGCTCTGAGCCGTGGTTTCTGAGTTGCAAAATGAGTTTTGTGCGGACACAAATAGCAAAGCGAGTAACAAACAGTAACCGATTCATCTAAAGGCTTGCAGGGTTTAGCATTTGGGTTCGGTGTACGTAAAAATACCATATTATTTGCCTTGTTAAATAGATAAGCTAAAGCAAAAAAATACTGCATGGTTTCAGCAAACGAATATGTAAAAATAGTTTCCTCTTTGTTCCTACGCTATATATCCTTACTTTAATTTAGAAGGACGATAATTGCAGATAGTCACATCAGTAGGTAAATGCGAAACTGGCGCCACTTCACACTAAAGTAAATTTAATTTATTTGGTGATCTAATGCAGCTGTTACTTACGGCGGTTTTATGTGTCCTAATATGTCAGTTACGCTCGATGAGGTGTACTGATAAAAATTGACCTCTATGATGAGTCGTGAGATTCTGCATTAACAAGGTAACAGAGGTAACCAATGACAACGGTCGATTCCGGCGGCAAGAATTGAAACTTCCTGCCATCCATCATACTGACCAGGAATTATCATCTTTTTTAGTATATCGATCATTGTGTACAATCGATTTTCAAATGACGTTTTTACATTTTATAGGCCGTCATACGCCAGACTTCCACAGCAGGAGAATAAAGAAATCACCATTGGGGTAGCAAAAAGTGAAAAATAACAGGGGGGGGGGGGGTGTATTTCGATTTAAAATAAAATACGTACAAGCGTTAAAATTAAAGGTCGCCTGATCAGAAAAAGAAATTGTCAAACGAAAACCGTAAAGCTTTAAAACCTAATAACGTGTAACGGGAAATTCAGAATAAAACGCTGCTCAATGCCGTCCTTTCACCGTGATGTTTATTCGAAAGGTGTCCACGAGTGTAAGCTGTATATCGTCAATAGATCTCCTTGGCTGTTACGGGTTCATCCAACCAAATGATGATCTGGTAGGTAGAATATAAGATTCTTAAAGGAAATCGTTGGATATTCTGTACGAGTTTTTGTTTACAAAAGCACTGAATATATTATGTGCTATATATATGGTACGCTAATGCTATTGTTGCGTGTGTCTTTACGCCTGACGTATCTGACTTATTCTGTTGTGTCAGAGATTTCTTTTGCCTTATCATTTTTCTAAAAAATATTTGGATAACATTTTTTTTTATATTCAACTTGTACTTTGAAAGCCAATAAAACAAGCTGTCTTTTTATCTGTGTCGAAAGGCCTATTATCATTTCCCTATTCTGTGTGACTATCACCATAATAATGATTTTCAGAGAACCCTCCATTGCCACTCTAATTGAACCTATGATGAGGGTCCAGTTACATGAAACTAATACGCTGACCGTGGAGAGTTCGCGCAAGGCCATTGACGCGATGTGGTGTCCCCGCCTAAACACCGTTGGCGGTTTCTCCTCGCCGCAGAACTGTTCCGCTTGCGCGGAGAGATGCAAACCGAGCGCACCGCATGCGATCTAGCAAGCATTTTCGACGGTGAACCGCTGACTGCTCTTTGTGGCTGGCTTTGGGTGCAACTATTGCTGCTGTTGGCAGATCGCCGCCGTCTGCCCCTAGGGGTAAAAAGTTGCCTCATTAGTCAGTCGGTCAAACCGACGAGTTTCGAGGTCGAGTCCATGACTGCTGCTCACTGCTCATCGCCCTCCAATGGGCCGACCTACCCAGCGACGTGGACGGCGACGATCATTGCCAACGTCGTCCTAGCCTAAGTTCTAGCCTTAGTCATAGTCAGAGAACGCAGTCAGGCCGTTACCCACAGGAGAACAGCACAATGCAGGCTGCACTGACCTGGGATTGGGAAGTAGGGAAGCGGCCATACAGCGGTAGTCGGACGAACGAGCTGGTGCTTCCTCAGCCGAAACCAACTTGCGTATCGGGATGGTAACTACAAGCCTTTATGACGAAGGCGGCATTTCTACATGCGGCTCGTGCCTGTCTGCATAAACATACAGCACTTACGCGCGCACAAACACACACATTAGACACGGCACATACTTAGTGCAGAGCAAAAGTGGCTAAGCATAGAAATCAAATAATACTCCAATCTCCGCTGTTTGTATCTATAACGAGAGAAAGGAAATGGGAAGAAGTAAATACATTATTGCACAGTTACGTTCATTGGAACCCCATGCAGACGTATCTAGGCACCTAAATAGAGAAGCAAGTATTAGTACCTAGTACACATATAGGCAGTTTATGGATTGCCTGTAAAGCTGACTGAAAAATGATTTTGCCAACATGGTCTATAGAAATTAATATTCGCGCTCATTATGCACAAACACTGGCACTCGCTAGTATTCGTTCCATATGAATTTAAATAACAAAAAACCAAGTTTGTTCTCTTCCGTAAGTACTTGGACAACGAATGGGCCATCTCGAAACAAAGAAGATATTGAAATCAACGAAAAGATATGAACAACAAAGATGATAACATGAAACTCTGTGTCTTTCAATGCTTTTTGTGTAACTGTTTTTTGAATGAAGGTTTTTACAAGGTAAATTATGACAAAACTTAATTCGTACAAATTATATAGTTTTCTTAAGCCGTTCGTTCGGGAATCAAAAGAGATGATTTTAACAGCGTCTTCGCAGTACAAGATGTAAATGACCTAGTCCCGTCTGAGTGAGCATCGATTTAATGATCGTTAATATTACAAACGTTGGAGTAATCACAATGGGCAAAACAAGTTCGTATAGAGGTGCATATGTTTCTTTCCTAGCGCCTTCTAGCGCTTCGAAAAGCTCCATGGTTTTACCTTTTGGTGACTGACGCTACGCGCAAAATGTCGCGTATATATCATCGAAAACCGCGTAGTTTACTAAATTTTCTTTTAAAAATTATATACGTATATTATTACAGAGTGCGTATTATTATTGTATGATATTTCAGTCTTTTTGAATGTCCAATCGTAAAGAACTACAGCTTTGTTATCAGTAACCAACCCAACTGTTCGTGAACTTCCTGATGATTTTAGGTGGTCACGCATTTCCGATCCTAATCCTGTTACATAGATAAACTGAAATGCGGTCCCGACAAACTGTAGTGAGCTTCATACAACGAGCGTGTCTGAGCCGACTTAAACGACACGGCAAACTTCAAATTGACGTACTACAAATGCAAGTGAAACTTCAAAAGTTACTCCCAGAGTGGACTGAAAAAGTCGTTAATTTGCAGGTTAGGAACCTCTGTTATCGTAGTCGGCTGAGCAAAATATATGGCCTGCGGAAGTGGCTTTCAAATAAACGTATTGTATTTTTCTACGGGCAGTATTTTTTAACTATTTTATGTATAAACAGTGTATAACGATAAAAAAAAAGCATCATATTACTATATTCTATGTATTAACATAGACTTGCTTCGAGTTATACTCATCCAGTACGTACACATCGATAGTTAAATAACTACGTATCGAATTAAAGATCGGCAACTCATTTCCACCGAAGGCTCCGCGTTTCTAGCTGGCCTTGACTGGGTGTAACATGGGTCGTCAGTCCCAATCGTATTAGTCGTATGGTATTGTTTTATGCCTGCCCTTATTTCTGGAATCAGCGCAGAGCTGGTTTAGTAACGGAGCGCGTTTCAGCGATAGATTTATGAGAACTGCCTTCATCCACGAAGATTATGTAATGTTCGTTATTTTCCAGGAAGTCACCATGAACTGCTTCTGCATAAATAACTACCCACTGTTTTAGGTGGAAGGATACCCTTTACTTAGTGACGAAATAGGTTGCAAAAAGCGGCGGAAGAAAGGCTAGCTGGGACAAAAGTAGAAATTAGGACACGGTATGTAAGCTCACGGGTTTCGTTATTAATAAGAGCGCTTAAGTTAGTCAAACGACCGTCAACATATATATAATGGGTGCTAGGACACTTCATGGAGCTAACTGACTCCTTGGTCTTTGAGGATGCAAACTTTATTCTACAAGAGTAGCAGATTGATCTCTGTAGTCCTGGGCAAGATCTAGCGCTGACACCAGTCTCAAAAAACTTGAAAGTT